AGATCCTCAGCAGACTTTCAGGACCAGTTGAAAAGTCGTGGCAAAAGGGATTGACCACAAAGTGCTGACTTGATCCCAAATGGGGCAGTCACAAGATGTCATAAAAGGAAGCTCTTCCTCCACCAGCCCCTCCAAAATCACAGCTCATGCAGGCTAACAAGATCCTGTCCCTGCGCAGGACCTGGTGCATCTATTAAAGTTTCTCCTCTGTTCTGCACTTGTTTAAAGATGCTAGTTGTTCATAAATATGGCTAAAGTCAATGGTTGGGTGGGAGGCTCTATGAAATGGAGGTGTTAAGTGAGTGCCTTCCCCCCCACCCGCCATGGGCTGACCCTGGACTGGCCACGGAGCCTTTAGGAACTTCACTCATGCTGTAAATGCTGAACTGTTTCTAAAAGTCACAGTCTCCACTTGGCTACAGAATTCTTGCTTTTTAAAAGGCAAAGTTGACAGCACATTAGAAAGAGGAAAATCATTTTTCCCAGTTAATTTGAAAATGCACGGGCCAGGCCGGTGGTGCACTCGGCTGAGTGCGGCGCTTGGGAGTGCGGCGGCGCTCCTGCCGAGGGTTCGGATCCCATATAGAGACCGGTCCGCTCACTGGCTGAGCGCGGTGCAGTGCGGGCGCAACACCGAGGGTTGTGATCCCGTTACCGGTCACGAAAAAAGACAAAAGGGAAAAAAAAAAAGAAAAAGCTGATCTTGATTTTAATCATTTGCAAATGCAGCACAATTCACTCATCGATCCCGTTACCGGTCATGAAAAAAGACAAAAGGGAAAAAAAAAGAAAAAGCTGATCTTGATTTTAATCATTTGCAAATGCAGCACAATTCACTCATATTATCCCTACCAGCAGGGTCCTTGCATATCCATGAAGGCATTGCATTTATATACTCACAGGCAAATTCCTGGATTCCTAGGAGGAAAAATACTTTCTATCCACCCCAGCGTTTAGTATGCAGCGTTCATAATACCAACAACCATGTATTTTGCATTAATTTATCATTCATTACAATTTTGTTGTAAAAATTAAATAAACAAGCTACGACCTTATTACACCAAACAGCTGGTGGGGCCATCCCCTTCTGAAGAGTGTGCTGCTGCTCAGTGGGCTCCTCCTCTGTGGCTGAGCAGATGTTTGGGCACAGCTGGAGTGAGCTGTGAGGAGGAGTTAGGGCCAAGCTGCTTCCCCCCCCCACCCCCCACCACCAGGAGTGTGAGTGTCCAGCTGCTCTTGGCTCAGCAGGTAACAAAGTCAGGGCAGACCTGCCTCCTGTGGGCCTGCTGGGCCCTGCCCTGACTGAGCAGCCCCAGCACTGGGCAAAGCCATCACTTCCACTGCTCACCTGCCAGGGAACCCACCACCCACTCTGACAGGTGTCAGCTCTGAAAGTCACCCATCCAGGGAAACCCCTCGGTCCTGGGCACACTGGCCGGCAGGTCACCGTCTGTGCCTGTGGAACAGTGTTGCCTCCGCCTGCAAGTGGGGACCAGCTCCCCACTGAGAAAACAAGCTTGCAACCCCAAATGGGGTCATACACAGTCTGGGTTCACCCATGAGCCCCCAAAGACACACCAGCCCCCACCCCAGTGAGAAGGGCAAAGGGGGCAGTTTTTGGCCTCAGGGATTTGGATCACTTAAGGCCGAGGATGTCTTCTTTCCTCCCACAGCAGTGTTGGCCTCAGTTTCAGCCCCTCCAGGCTCTCACTCCACCCGCTCTCTGCACAGGTTGGGGGGGTCAACATCTTTCTAACCATCCTCTCCCCTCTAAACTCTGCACCTGATCTTTCTTGCCAGATGAAAGTTTGCAAGATTGGAAGGCCTTGAGCTCCTCGCCCAGTGGCCCCCAGGGCACAGGCATCCCCATGAAACAGCCCAGGCCTGAAGCCAAGAGAGGGACTGTCACCTGCACCCCCAACGCAGCACCCAGGGCTAATGCCTCCACAGGTGTCGTGGGGCAGGGTACAAGAACTTCAGCAAACACGAGTATTGCCATTGACCAGTTTGGCGGTCAGTTGTATTAGTGAAAAGTGTATCTAGAGGGAGTTTTTAAAATTACAAAGTGCAGGAAAATCCCAACTCCGCCAAGTGGTGCAGGAGCCGGCGCAGCCCGACGTACTTCATCAGCTCCGGGTCCTCCCTGTCGTCCTTGGCGGGAACCACCTTGACTCCGCTCTTCTTGGCACGAGGGCAGCCTGACAAGCTGGTTTTGAAAGAGGAGAACACGCCCCCTTAGTCCCAGAGTAGCAGCTTCCCCTGAGGGTCTGCGACCTCCAGGGGGGTCCGCAGGGGCAGTCCTCCCACAGGGCAATGGAGTTACCGTGACCCCAACCATGACCCTTTGTCTTTTTATCTTACTGCAGAGAGCAACTTAATCAGCTTCTCGAAACATCAACAATTCAGGTTAAAAAGATGGAAATGGGCTCTTGTTGTCAGTAACATTAATGTCTTCTTCAGAACTTTAGAGCTTTGTCTGAGGAAGAAACACCTTCCCACCCCCCTACCCCACCCCCACCCCACAGCCCAGGGTCCAAGGACATGGCAGGCTCACCTCCGGTGTGAAGCATAGTTCCCTGTTATGTGGCCAGAGCCGTCACAGCCAGGCGTGGGGCACCTGCAGAGAAAAGCAGAACTGGGAACAGAGCCCATAAAGAACTTTGGCCCTGGCCCAGAGCCTGGGAGCCCCAAAGGGAAGCCATCTGGGCTCAGCCCTTAAATGAGCCCACTCCATCTTCCCTAGCCTGGGGTCTCACAAACAGCTCCCTCCTTAAGAACCTCTCCACAGAGGAGCATCACTGATGCGTGCCCCAGCCTGCCTACTGCCCACAACAGGGTATCTGCAAGGGTCATCTCAGGGCTTCAGGCCTTTGCACCCCAGTCTTCCCAAGGGGGACGAGGAAGGCTGAGAGGAGAGCAGCCAACTGCTGCCCAAAGGGCTCGGCTGAACCTCAGACACCAAGCCTGGGCGTGGACACTGGCCTGCTGGGTCTGCTGAGTCCCAAGGAGACAATGGGCTCCCACCTTGGCCTCCTATAGGGTTCTAGGCTGCACTAGAAGCATCTGGAACACATCAGAGCCCTGACTTTATTTTTTTTTTTTCCTTTTTGTCTTTTTTACTGACTGGCAACGGGATCGCAACCCTCGGTGTTGCGACCGCACCGCGCTCAACCAGTGAGCGGGAACCGGTCTCCACATGGGATCCGAACCCTCGGCGGGAGTGCCGCCGCGCTCCCAGACGGCGCACTCTCCAGTGCGCCACCGGGCCGGCCCAGAGCCCTGACTTTAAACATGAGCACTCAGGAAGGCAGACCTAACACCCAAGGCCAGTTCATCTTCCTGGGCAGGGCCAGGAGCTTGCTTTCACGGGGGTGGCTCCTGTGGCTGAGTAAAGGAACAGACGCTCACTGAGCGCCTGCTGCGGGGCGGACAGCTCTGCTGCCCCTGGCCTTGTTCTCATTCAGTGAGTAGGGGATTCACACAGCTGGAGGCTTTTGAGGGGCTGTAGGTGCCAGCATAGGGTAAGGAGGGGAGACACAAAACACAAAAGTCCAACTTTATGCACCCAAGAATGTTTGAACGTATCATGTAAGATGGTAAAAATTCCATTTTAATATTACAAGTGTGGATTTCCTTAAATTATTTTCTCCTGAATGTCCACTAAGGAGAGACGTGTGAGTTCCTGCTGGTGGTAGAGAGGGGGAGGAGGCGACCTGATCCACAGCTTAGCCCATCCCCCGTCGGGCCTGCTGCTCTGCACCTTGAGCCTTGCAAGGGTCCTGACCCTGCGGGTGCCAGGCAGCAGTTTGGTGCTTGTGTCCAGGAGCCCATTACTGCCAGAGCACTTCATTGCGGCACTCAGGCTCTGGAGAGGACTCATGCTCTGTGCTGTGACCGTAGTCCTTCCCCACCAGGGTCTTCCAGCAGCACAGGTGGCATCTGGCCTTTGGGGCAGGACATCTTTTTGTCTGGAGGACAGAGGTAGCAAGGGGCAGCCTGGCACCCAAAGGACCCCCAAGGCACAGCAGGTCTGGCCCCGTCTCCCAGACCTTCTTGGATGTCCTCCTGGGGCATCTTGGGCTACCTCATCCCTGCCCTGTGGATCACACGTTGCACACCTGCTGGACTGTTGGCAGGCTGACCCATCAAATCATTCTCCAGTCTTCATGGGACCACGATGTGGGCACAGAGACATGTCACCGTAGGGGCGTTCCTGCTCTCTGGAAGGCCAAGTCCAGAGAACTGAAGACAGTTGCCCTCCTTCTTGGGTTGGCAGCTGCTCAGATGGCCTCAGTGGCGGCAAGCCCAGCTCTGGGCTGTGAGTGATGCCAACAATGAGTGGCAGACACGCCCTGACGGCCCCCGTGAGTGCTCTCGGGTGGGGGCGTGACTCCTACAGTGCCAGCAGTCCCTGACGTGGCAGGAGAGGGCCATCCTGCACTCCTCGCCAAGGCCTGATTCCACGGCTTTTCCCAAGCGTCATTCCAGAGAGGACAGTGCTCACGCGGTGAGAGGAGCAGGTGTCCTCACTGGGCGCCCCTTCCACCACCTGCCTCTGAGCACCTTGACTGGGCGCACATCAGTCTCACTGCTGAGCCTGTCCCTGTGCAGAGCCTGTCACACCCTGGCAGGTACGGCCTGTACCTGACTGCCCACACATACGGAGATCTGAGTGGCCGAGGTAGCCGTCTCCTCTCAGCCCTACGTCCCGCCCCTAGCCACTCCAGGTGCATGGAAGGGAGGAGCAGATGCCCACATCATCCAAGACTGTCTCTACATCCAGGGGTCGATAGGGAGGCCACCAACAGTTTTCCTGGCTCCAGAGAGGCTGCCTCGACCCCTCACTGCCACGGGCTGGTCAGGACGGCTCGCACCTGATGTCCACTAGGACAGCAGGAGGAGGGAGAGAGAGCAGCATTGGTCAGATGGTCCCTGCCCACGCTGTGGTCTGCAGGAGGTGAGGAATGGGGCTCCCATGGAAAGACCCCCAGGGGATGCCTCCCTGCTGAGGCTCATTTTCACACTAAGAAGACTTTTTTGTTGTTGAAATTTCTAAAGAAGTTTTGGGTTAAGGTTCTTCGCAGGCTCTTAGTCTTAGAGCACTAACCCTCTTGGTTTCTGAAACTTGCCAAGTTTCCTTCCACTAGCCCTGAGCATCGGCTTTGCAGGATAGAAAGGACCCCAGTGGCATATGAGTCACTGGGTGCGTGTGGTCCCATCTCTAGTTCTAGAATTACTCGGGCCCTTAAATGTAAAAACTGATCATAGTTAGAAAAGAAAGCAGAATTGGAAAAGAAAGTAGGAAAAAGGAACACAAGAAAGATAGCAAGAGAAGAAGGAAGGAGCGACAGAGGGGTCCCCGAGGCTGCACGTTTCAACTCTGAGTTTCTGGGGCCAGACACGGGGACGAGGGGGGCGGCAGAAGGAATGAATAAGTAAACGTTTGGTCTAAGCCTCAGAAAATGCTACGTACATGAGAGGCACTAACACCAGGAATAAAAGTGAAGCAGTGCAGTCAGCCCCGCCTCCCCTGTGTGGGCACTGAAGGGCCAGTGGTAACGGCACGCTCCTGGCTACCCTGAAGCTCGGGAGCTCTCTGTCTGCTCTAAACCCGCTCAGGCCCCTTTGAGCCTTCAGCAATTCCAGAGGCCCATAGGAGGGAAGAACACCCCTGGAGAAGGGTGACCTGAGGGGACGAGAGTGGAACCCCCTCCTTCAAGGCCTCAGCTCAGCCCTGCTGCTCAGGATGAGCTCCCCGTGGCTCAGGGTCACATGGTCTGTGATGTCCCATCTCTACTGAAGGCATGAAAACCAAAGGCAGTGACAGTCCCCGAGTCTAACCCAAAAGGACACCAATACCTGGAAACCTCTGGGTGCTTGCGCTTAGTTGTGCGGGAATATCAAGTAAACTAGCTGGTGCCCACAGGCCTGGTCTGCCCTGCCTGCATATCGAGTCTAACCCAAAAGGACACCAATACCTGGAAACCTCTGGGTGCTTGCGCTTAGTGGTGCGGGAATATCAAGTAAACTAGCTGGTGCCCACAGGCCTGGTCTGCCCTGCCTGCATATCAGGGGCAGGGAGGCGCAAAAGCAGGAGGGGTGGGCCCAGCAAAGAAAAGGCGCAAGCAAGGAAGGAGGCGAGTCTGGGAGGGGACCAGGTGCCAAGACAAGCAGTGGAAGGGCTGCAGAAGGGAGGGCAAAGAACCTCATCCTTCATTGTCAGCATGCAGCCGTTTAGCAAGAGCTACATGGCCTGCAGCCGCTGAGCCACCCAGGACTTAGAAGCCACGGCCAGTTCTGGGTTTTCCCAGATCTCTAGGCAGGGAGAGAAGCAGGCCCAGACAGCCAGACTGGGGTCCTCAGGAGAGGCTGGAGGTGAGGGAGAGGCAGGCAGCAGAGCTCAGAGCAGGGGACACAGATAGCACAGCCCCAGACAAGCAGAATCGGCCCTTCCGCGGCCCTGCCCCAACACCCGTCCCAGGAGAACGGAGCCAGGCTGGGGTCAGCGCCTTGGAGAAGGCCAATTCTGGCAGGAGCCTCGTGGAAGGACAGAGCAAAGCGAGGGGCCGCCAGGGAGCGCAGACATACTTGACGGCCCTGCCCCAACACCCGTCCCAGGAGAACGGAGCCAGGCTGGGGTCAGCGCCTTGGAGAAGGCCAATTCTAGCAGGAGCCTCGTGGAAGGACAGAGCAAAGCGAGGGGCCGCCAGGGAGCGCAGACATACTTGAGGTCAGCAGAGTGGGCAGCCATGAGGTTTCTGAGGCTCTTGTCAGCAAGAGGGCAACCAGAGAGGCTGAAAGAGAAGACATGGGATATCGGGGTAAGCCAGAGAGGGGTGCAGAGGAGGAGAGGAGGAAGACCCGCCACAAAGCACCCAGGCCAGCCAGACCCAAGCGGGGACAAACCTGCGGTGGGAGGCATAGTTGCCGGTGATGTGGCCACTGCCATCACAGCCGGGGGTGGGACAGCTGGACAAAGGAAAAAGAGCATCAGCACAGACAGCAACGCACACTGCAGGCCTGCCCCAGGCGAGGCTACTCCAGGAGGCTGGCGCCACTCTGGGCTCACTCACAAACCCAGTGGCAGCTCCTCCTACCCTCAGCTCTCAGGACCGTGCCTCGCCTCTTAGACTGGAAGTTTCTCCCACACAACTTCACTTGAGAAGGAAAAAGTAGCCAAATTAAAGTTGAAGTTAGGATGCCTCTGAAGCACATGTGCTTATGTGTGCACACACGTGTGCCCATGAACACACAGGCAAGAAGCTCCTTCCCTTTTCCAGTCCTTGAAGCAGCACAGCCTTCCTCGATGACCAGGCCTCAGACCAGAGCGTGGATTCAGCAGTCCCAGGGAAGGCCAGCCATGGGGTAAGAGGAAACTAGTGGGGTTCAAGGGTAGGGAGAGGAGGGTCCTCAGGAATGACATCTGAGCACAGGTGAGGCTTGGATTGTCTGTGGTGCAGGTGCCAGGCGTAGCCTCTCACAATCTTCTAGGAAAAGGGGTTGGCAATGGGAGCTGGCCAGAAGGCCGCTGACTAGGGATGATCCCTGGCCACCAGCAGCTCTGCCTGCTTCAACCTGTGAGGACTTGCTCAGGAGGCAGCCTTGGGGCCCAGCAGGGCTACCAGAGCTGAGGCAGTGTGCCCCACGCCTTCACGCACTGAGCCCAGGGCAGAAAGCACCTGGCCACAGCCTCAGAGAGAGGACCAGGCCCCTGGCTACCCCTGAGGGCCTCCCATGGAGTTCTCTGCTCACTTCTCCTCAGCCCTCATTCTGCTCAGCTCCGTCCTGCTGTGCAGGCAGGGCCAGGGGTTCTTCCTTGTTCTTAATTACTTTTAGAGGATGGTGTTAAGGCCCAGCACAGAGCAGAGATAGCGGGAGACATCTGTTACTCATGCAGGTTGCCTGGCTCAAGGTGGTCAGGCCAAGATGGAGGAAGACCCTGGACTGAGCAGACACGGTGGTCATGGGTTGGGACCCAGACCACAGAGGGTTTCCTAAAAGTCATGCCAGCCAACACAAGCACTTACGTGAGTAGCTCCTTCTTTATGTCCTTGGAGAGAAATTTCAGCTTAAAGTTGGTCAGGGTGACTTCCCCCGGGTACTTGCGCTCCTCAAAATTCTCTTCCGACACTTCCTGGTCATCTGCTTCAGAAGAAGCAAAAGAATGGGCTGCTGGCTCTGACTGCAAAAAACCAGCAGGGAGATGTTTTAACTGGCTGGCGGAGAGGCCCGGGTACCCAACCCGGGGGAAAGGGAGAGGGACCCTGCAGTTCAGTGTCCACAGAAGCATTTGCTGGAGGCTCCTGTCTTCTGACAAGGAAAGAAGGCTTAAATGCCCTCCACAAGACACAGAAGACCACAGCCCTGAGCAACTGAATTCCTCCCCCGCCACGGCCAGGGCTCCTGAGCGCCCCAGAAACAAGGAGACCAGGTGCTGCACAGCACGCAGGCTCCTAAAGCCCTCTATGGCCTCAGGCATGTGGGTCACCTCCACCACATCACCCCACAATGTAAACATCAGGGTACAGTTCCCTCCAGAGCCAGGGACAGCACTCAGTAGGCAGCAGGCACTAAATAATTGTTGTAGAAACACCATCAAGATGAGATGGCACAATGAGAGTAAAAGTTATGACATTCACAGTGACCTTGAGACTTTCTGGCCTGACGTCCCCGCCAGCCTGAGGCTTTGACCACAGAAGGCCCTTAATAAACACTGGGTCTGAAGGGCATCTGTTCACTACATGCAGGCTTAGTGCTGCAGATGCAGGTTCAGCCAGGTGCAGGCCTCCCTCCCACAGAGGGGCCAGGGTGTCCATGGAGAGCCAGGAAGGCCAGCGTCCTGCAGGACGGCTGTAAGAGAGGCTCAGATTCCACTGTGGGCACAAACTTGCTCTGCATCCCAGGTGAGCGGTTCAACCTATTGGGGCTCAGGCACCGCACTTTCATGCTTGAGATCACAGCTGCTCCTCACAGGTTTTGGGGGTTGAATGAGGAAATGCCTATGAAGCGACAGCCTGGTGTAATAATGGACTCTGTGGTGCTGCTGTATTACCTCTGTCACCGTAACTGAGCAAGTCCTGCAGAAAGTGACTAATTCGCCTGAGCAAGTTGGATGAAGCTCCTCAGAGCACGTGTTAGGCTTAGTCTTCAGGATAAATGGGGCTTCTCAGAAGTGGCAGGGAGGAGGCTGTTCCAGAGTAGGAAGAGTGCCTCAGAGGCCGTGAGCTCCAGGGGCCTATAGGATCTGGGGGCAGTAAGGAGGGGGTGCTTCCAGGGACGTGGGGTGTGGGAGGAGAGGCTGAGTGGGCGACCGCCCTACCCAGGCAGGTTGGGGCAAGGAGCATCAGGGCAGAGCAGAAAGAAGGGTCTGAGTCAGGAGTCCAGGGCGGTGGTAGAGGGACAGGAAAGGGCCTGATTCAGGAGGCCTTTCTGGGGTGACCCATGCCTAAGAGATGGGTGGGAGGAGAGGAAGGGATCATGAGTGAACCAAGGCTCTGACTGCAGAGTGGACCATTGACCACTGCCGCCAGGTGGAGCGAGCGGGCAGGCTACAGTGGGCAGGGACCTCCAGACCTCTGAGACCTAGGTCACCCCACAGAGGGCAGCTGCATTCCTGGGAAGGGACATGATCTGAGAGGATGTGTTAAGGGAGAAGAGGGGGGCAAGCAGCCTGGGAAATCAGCACTGAGCTTGGGGCCAAGGAAGGGGCAGGGGGACAGCCCAGGACATAGCCTGTGGGTCACCCACCCATTCGAGGCTGAGGAGTCACACCAGCAGTCTGGGGCAACCTGGTGAGGGTGCAGGAAGGAGGGGGTGGTGGCAGCTCAATCCCAAGAGTGGAATGTGGATATCAGAAGCTTCCAGGCCCAAGGAGAAGAGCAGATGGTGGAGACACCTTATCGGAGGGCACCTCCGCCTCAGACAGCTCCCACCCAGCATGGGAAATCACATCTCAGCAGTCTGAGGTGTGCATGGCTCCAGGGGTAGCCTCCCTCCACCCGGGACCAGCCTGGGGCAGCCCCTCTCTGGGACCTGACCTCAAACAGGAGCCAGTGACCATGCCAGGTGACCTTACCCTGTGGCCCAAGCTGCTCCTCTGTGAAAGGAGAACTGTGAGACCCACCTGAGGGCAGTGTGAGGCTCAGACACACAGTGAGGATGGAGCCTGGAGGAGCCTGGCCCCACTGCCCCATCCCTCCTTGGAGGGCCTTGCCCTGCTCCCTCCACAGGGGCCCATCCCCCCTCTTGAAGGGCCTGGGGGAGGGAGGGGCACCTGCAGGCCTCACACACTGCCAACACCGCCTGGACCCTGCGCCACCCTCAGCACTGGACTTTGCTCTTCAGGACACACACCTCTGTGGGGAAAAGCCCTGAGCCAGCTGGCATCTGAGGGCTCTTCTTTTTCGTGTTTCAAGGAACAATTGAGAAGGGAATGTTCCACTGCTCCCCAGGCCACAGCTCTAACACCAGCGCCAGGTTGGTTCTGGTCTTAGGGACTCAGGCCACTGCCCACCACGGGGGTCCTGAGCCCAAGGCCTCCAAGACAGGAGTTTTCTCACTTCCTCGGCCCAAGGAGCTGAGCAGCTGAGCCCTGTTTGTACAGTAGGTGTGCTCTGCAGGTTGGTGAGAGGCTCACAAAATCAAGGAAATCCAAGCTTTTTTCCAACCCTCCCCATGGGATCTGGAAGAAGCCCTTCTCCTCCCCATGACTTTGGAGTGCCCACATTGGTGCTGGCCACCATGTTGCACAGAGGTGAGAAGACCACCCCTCTCTTGATGGGATAAGGCTTCAGCACAGCCCTACAGGTGGACACCACAAACCCCCACCGGAGGGCGAGGCCCTGAGTCCCAGATGCCCAGGGGTAAGGGCCCTGTGTGGAAAAGGCTCTGCCAGAAGCTCGTAGATGCAGCTGCCTGGAGAAACAGCCCACAGGCAAAGCAGCCACTACCGCCAATTGCCGCCCAGGCCCCTGCACCCACCTCCTCGGGCTCCTCCTCTCGCGGGCGGCTGGCCTTGGTGTAGTCCAGGGGCCGGTCCCATTCGTCCTGGCGGGAGGCCTGGCTGGACTGGGGCGAGGTCATGGAGCTACTGGGGGCGCTGGTGCCACTCTGGCGCTGGGAGGCATCTGGAGACTTCACGCCGGGGCTGCTGCTGCAGCTGCTACTGCTAGGGAAAGCACTTTCTCGTTTCCGGTGCTTGTGCATGCTCAAGTCCAGGGTTCCGTTTTCATCTACCTCAATGTCCACAGGCTACAATTGCAAAAGTGAAATCTGTGTCAGAGATTCCAGCCCTTTCCTACATGTGCCTTGTGATACATTTTAATCAGATTTACAGTGAACCCAGACTACTGATTCCTAGGGAAGGAAGCAGAGCAACCAGAATAGACAGCTGCTGAGAGGAAAAACCCAATTGCCCCTTCCTCCTCTGCCACGAAGGAGGCCCTACAATCCCTCCTGCCTCACAAAAGCACCAGTGCCTCGAGACATGCCATAACCATGAGTAAGACTAGGTCCTCTGAGCCAGGAGAACGTGTTAGGAACCACCAGACTCAGCGAGGAACACATGGGAACATGTGTGCACACTTGGTCCCCCTTTGCACGTACATGGAGCTCTCTCAGGGGGACCCACTCAACCTCTTCCATCACTGGGGCCCTGGCCAGGAGGGAGAAGAGGTAAGAATGAGAATTGCCAATGAGACACTAGCTGTTTCTGGGGACATTTTGCACAGGAAGTGGGTGGGCCTGATTGCAAATTTCACCCACTCATCTGCTCTCAGAGGGCTCCAGAGCCACCCCGACCTTGCTGGGGGGCTCCTGTGGCTTCGTGCTGAGGTTCTCAGGCATCTCCCAGCAGCGCGTGGAGAGGTTCAGGATGGCGGTGGCAGCCATGTGTGCAGCCTCGGCGTCGTGAGAGTAGTCGAAGCCTGCAGAAGAGGAAGTGCTCCTCACATAACTACTGGAGGGGCTGTGCCTGGGGGAAGAGGCCTTTGGGAAAGGTTTGGCTGCAAAAAGGGAACAACACCAGGCTTATTTAGAACTTGGATGAAGGTGGCAATGGCAGACACGTCCAGAGGACGTGGGATGGCTGGGGCCCGCAGCTCAGCCATCCATCCCACCCCTGTGTCCTCACAACCCCCACTCCCCCGCCCTCCTCTCAGATACTGAGGAGGCAACCTCATTTCTGGCCTGATCAAAATTTGGGCAGAAAGAGTAAAACCCTCCAAAGACGTTCCAGTAGCCCTGACATTTCAAACAAAAATAACTTCTTTATCAGCAAATGCTTGTTGAGAGACTGAAGAATTCTGTGAATAGGATGAATGTTTGGAATATCACTCAAGTAGGAAACTTTTGTCACATTGTCTCAAAAGGGTGTTTCCATATTTAGGCTGACTCTGGTATCCGCAGTAATAGTCACTGCCTCAGTAAAGTAACATTTATTTTTCAAATAAACATGACAAATGAAGGCATAAAATGTTATCTTTTCTAGTAATTGCACTGTAGCCATAAAAGGTGCATTCCAGAAAGGTTCAGAGGTATGGACAGCTCCTGTAGAGTCCCGCTCTCCACTGGCACCATGGCTGGCCTTCATCTAAGCAGGTGTGAGTGCCTGGAGACACACAGGCCTCCCTCCTCACAAGCAGGTTCTGCCCAAGTTAGGAAGAGAGTCTCACACTCCAGCTGGCAGCTGCATCAATCACCACTTTTACTATTAACACTGCTGCCGCATCAGAGAGCTGACGGCATTCGCTGGGAGATGCCAGCTCCAGCCTCGTGTGTATGCAGGGGCTTTACCATGTCACATGCACTTCGAGGGCTAACAGGCTGTTGCTCAAGTTAGTGCAATAAATGTCAGGAAAAGACAGGAAGGATTTTTCTTAAAGGTTTGTAGGGATGATTTTTGTCAGTACGATTACCTAGAAAATGTATTGCCAATATCACAAATAACACATTGTATCCAGTAAGATGGTCCCATGCAGGAGGGCAAACGCTCCTACCAGGTGCTAGGGCTCAGCCCAGGGTCTGTCTGACCCTCCCTAGAGGCAGTGCTGGGAGGGGAGACGCTGCTGCATTGGGGTTAAACAAGTTGCATGAGGATGCTTGGAAGAGTGGGCTCTCTCAGGATGGACCACGTCAGTGAAGTTATTCTTAAGTCTTTGGACATACACACCCATAAAGGATCTGGGTTTTGTTTCACAAATAATTAGGAGATACATAAAGGTTAACAGTGAACGAAGAGAGGCAATGAAGAGATGCAGGCCCCCGGGAAGCCACAATGGCGTCCACTGGGACTGCTAAGTTCTCAGGAGAGATCGCCTCCTTTCTAGCTCGTTGAGAGGCCCTCCTCCACCGCCCCTCGACTCCTGCCCCTCCCAGGAGCAGCGCAGGAACAGAAAGAACAATGCTCCCCAACTTACATTGAAAGGCTTTAGGTGAGGTTTCGCTGGTCTGAATCTTTGGGGCAAGCATGCGTTTGCCAAAAACCTGAGCATCGAAACTTGCGTAGTCAAAGGTGACCTTGGAGAACTTCTCCAGCTCCTTGGCCAAGTTGGCCCTGGGCGTAGCAGGGGCCACATTGGGCCGGTAGCTCCCATACGGAGGGACCTCGAGCTGCTTCACAAAGCACATGGGCCTGGGGTTCAGGACAGAGATGCAGAGCCCTTGAGGATGGGACCTAGGGACCCCATGCTACCTGCCCCTCCATCCCACAGCCCAGGCAAGGGTCCCACAGGGTCCAGTGAGAATGGAGACCCAGGGAGACCCCTCCTCTCCAATATCCCACCACTAAAGCCTGGTCAGAAATCCACCTCTCAGGGTACAGGGCACCTGGAGCAGGCCTGTGACCTGCATGAGGAAGAGTTGCCTGCAAGGAGGAAGCAAGATGCACCTAGAGGAAATGGCGGCAGAGCCAGGTGTGTCCTCAAGCCAACAGCATTAGCCAGAGGTGGGAGAGCCTGAGACTTTCCCCAGAACAAAAGAGCAGATTTCAAACAGCTTAGCTACAATTAGTGCAAGCCCTTGGCAGGCAGCCCAACGGTCACACAGCCCAGGACAGCAGCGAGCCACTCCAAGGCAGAATTCCAGTGGCAGAATAACCTAAAACTCCCCAGCAAGGAAGGAATTAGGGAGTCTAGAGGGGACCTGGGTCAGTGCATTCCTGAAGAGTGGCCTTGGAACCAGGCCTGACCCAGCTCTTTACTCAGTCAGGGGCTTGGCCCTCAGCTGTCCTCTTCTTAAAGCCAGGTTGAAATGCCTCCTAGAGGCTTCTGGAAGGGTCCATGACAGGCATGAAAAGCCAAGAGTGGCCTTGGAACCAGGCCTGACCCAGCTCTTTACTCAGTCAGGGGCTTGGCCCTCAGCTGTCCTCTTCTTTAAGCCAGGTTGAAATGCCTCCTAGAGGCTTCTGGAAGGGTCCATGACAGGCATGAAAAGCCACTGCAAGCACTCAAAGAGTTCAAGTTTTTACACACACAAAAGATAGCATGAAGACACTGGCCCAGACAGCACAGGAGGCAGGAAAGAAGGCTGGTGACCCCACAGCGTACTGAGGGGCTTCCACACCGGTCAGCTCAGAGACGGAGGGAGAGAGGAGCAATGGCTCTGGTCCAGAAAGGTGTGGTCAGTGGAGTTAAGAAGCTGATGGTGAGGACTTCCAAGGCACTGGGTGCTACAAGAACATGCACATGGCCTTAGAAGAGACACCTGGTGTAACCATGACAGGGCCACCACTAAAGGGCCTGGAGAAACCAAACACCACCAGGCACAGGCATGTGCCCCTTCCCCAAGAAAGTCGGGGCCCAGGCTGGACTCTGGACCCGCCGCTTCTGGAGAAGTGGCAAGAGCAAAACCAGCAGGTGCCAGCAGGGGCCTGGTTACTTTTAAACTTCAGATTGGTACCACTTTTTGATGGCTTCCTTGGTCAGGGCTTCAGCCAGAATCTATAGACTCAGTATCCATGGTGGCAGCAAAGCTTTGCAGAAGCCTTTTACAGAATCAACAGGGCCTGACAGGAGGCCCCTGCCACAATCACTACTGTTCGGCGAGGGTGCACAGTGGGCTGGGGAAGGCAGAGAGTCACTGAAGCCCCATGAGAAACTTCCAAGTTTGTTGTTCTGCTTTCATAGGTGAGCAAACTGAGGCTAAGACCCAGGGAGTGCAGCCTCTGTGGCTGGAGCCTATTTGACGCTCTCCCCAGCCTCACCTGCCTCACACCAGGGCCAAACCACAGTTTGAGATTTTATCAGTGACTTAGATCAAGGCAGGGAAAGGATCAAATTAGGAACTGACAGGAAGCTGGATGGAACAGCAAGTAAGACAGAGGAGAGAAGCAGCCTCAACCCACCGGGAGAGCTGTGGGTGGAGAGCCAGCAGGGCCTGGTGGAGCTGCAGGCACCATGGATGGGAGGCGAGCATGCCCTCAGGGCAGGAAGGCGAATCCCCATCCTGCCCAGAGACCCACAGCTTCTGAGAAACCCTCCAGAGCAGCCCCGGGAAGGATCAGGGTGTGGCACAGCCAAGGGGAGCGGTTAAGATCATCTGGCTGGACTTTTCCAGGCATGTGCCAGGGAGGGACAGGGCCAGGAGGGCCCTGAAAGGAGGTGGGCAGTGAGAAGGGCTGTGCTATCATTCACTCGTGCCAGCCAGTAGAACACACTCTCATTTGAGGAGACAGACATGGAGCGGGGGTCTCAGAACCAGGGAGGGGGAAATGTGCATGTTCCAGCTCCTCTGAGAAAGTGGGAGCAGGGTGTCCACTGAGTAAGGACAGTGAGTTGGGAAAGGAGCAGGTTGGAGTGTCCCAGACAAGGAGTGCCTCACAGTCCAGGCACTTGGCCCCACCAGGTGGAGAGATGTGGTGGACAGCAAGACTCTGAAGCCAGACTGGCTGGGAGGGGTGGCCTTGGGCAAGTCCCTGAGCCTCTGGCCACCCACCTCCCAGGGTCACATGGATGTAGGGGACACCAAGCAGATACATTCTGAATGGTCTTTTGGAGTCCCTCTTATCGATGAAAGCCTGTCTCCATGTGCATACACATTTGCACCCGCACTCACATGTAAACATACTCACATGCATGCACATACACAGGCATGCAGATATGCACACACATCCCTACACCCGTGCACACACACCTATGTGCACACATGCCTACTGCTGTCTCAGAGCAACACCTGCACCACCCCTCTCCCTTGGCTTAGGGTCTATCCCTAAGGCAGGGGAGAGGCAGACAGGACAGCCAGGGATTAGTAGCTTGGGGTGCTTGCTGGACAGCTGTGGCCCTTGGCTGGTGCAATCTGCTCTCTGCAGAGAGGACCAGCATCTCCACAAACAAATCCCTGAATAGCCTCACGTGGTCATTCCAGATGTCTTTGGGGAGAGCAAGGCGGAACAGCCTGTGGCTAAGGCTGGTGTTAGGGCCTTGGTGGAGGCGCTGGCAATGTGGCAGACGTGTCTGTCCCATGTGACCCCTAAAACTGCTCCTCAGTTCTGCCCTGGGGGAGGCCCCTGGGGTGTGTACACATACACTCACACACTCACACAGAGCCTGGGAGAGACTGGCACCCAGAAGGCAGCCCCTCTGTCCTGTGGTTCATTTCACTCACCTGAGGATCCGATCGGAACTGGAGCTATTCTTGGAAAGGTCTCCTGTCTGCGGCTGCTGCTTCTCATGAGATTTGGCTAATTTTTCAGCGGCAGCAATGGGACACCCAGACAAACTAGAGCAAGGAAAAGGGGGGACATCTGAGCCTCCCCCAAGCCTGGCCTGTCCCGGTGGCCAGGCATGTGGTTCTCGGAACAACATCATTCAGACACGAGAGCCGCAGGCGTGCAAGAAGCCGAGAGGCAGAACAAGCCTGTCATTCTGCAGGACAGAGGTTTTCTGTCTGGCTCTGTCCTTGAGCCCTCAGAGTTCAAGCTGCCTAATCAGTTTCTGTTGTGGGAAATTCTAAGCCAATGACGCACAAAGATGAAATACATACTAAGGCCTTCAAAGCTCTGGGCGAAGATGCCTGCTCTGTGTGGCTGTGGGTGTGGGTGAGGGATAGACCTGCCCTCACCTCCCCTGGCCCATGACCATGGTGCTGACTCAGGAGGACACAGCCCCTCCCAGGAAAATGCCCAATCTATGCCATGGAGGATCAGCTTCACCCATCAGGCTGAGTTGACTGTGAGCTCCAGCGCCAGCCCCTCAGCCAGCCTAGAGAGGTGATGTAATCACATCACTCGGGAACTTGGCCTTTTTCCAAATGAAGTGACCTCAAAAGCTCTGGCAGTTCTTTCAGCTGATCATGTGCCTGCTGGGGTAAAGGCACATGCCACAGAGTCCACCGCCACCCACGGTGCTCTGGGTGAGGCTGGGGGTGTGGCCGTGGAAAATGGGCCGACAACTAAACCTGGAGGGTGGCCTGCAAGCCTTGCTCCCACCCGGGTCTCAGTGCTCCCAGAGAGCAGCCCAGAGTGCAAGGCTGGCCTTCTGAGGTTCCTGTCCATGTCTGCACTTTCTCTCCACCCACTGGCAAGAGCCAGTGTGCAGAGGTTTTCCACATATGGGCAGGACACAAAGTCTCCACCTGGCTTTCCACACAGGCATCATACATATCTGAAAGGGTGCATGCTCACTCTCCATGAGCCACCCTCTGGTTTCTCAGGACCCCCAGCTCACAGGGGTACAAACAGCAACACCACTGGGTGACTGCACCTCTGAATCCTGCTCTGCCCACACAAAGGCCCCTTGCATCCTAGGCCTGTCCTGACTTTATAACCACCCACTGGGGCAGCAGGCAGGAAGAAGGGTGGCACTCAGGGGGTACCTGGCAGGCTAGAGCACCATCCTAGGTAAGGGCTCAAGGCCAGGGCAGGGACAAACACTGCAGGCCCAGCCCAGATCCCCCACCACATGCTGGCTCAGCCCAAGTACCTTCTGTGGAGGGTGGCACTCAGGGGGTACCTGGCAGGCTAGAGCACCATCCTAGGTAAGGGCTCAAGGCCAGGGCAGGGACGAACACTGCAGGCCCAGCCCAGATCCCCCACCACATGCTGGCTCAGCCCAAGTACCTTCTGTGCGTGTTGCGGTTGCTGTTCACGTGGCCCTGGCCTGTGCAGCCAGGAGTGGGGCACTTCAGCACATTCTCATGCATGGCCAAGACTATGAGAGAACCGGGGAGGGGGGCCAAGACAGAGAGAGTGGGTGAGTGCACGGGGGCCGGAGCCCTGCCCACGGGCTGCAGCTTTATAAGTGGATTGGAGCAACAACCTGGGGCAGCCCCAGCCCCCAAGAGCCTGCAAATGTGAGCCCCACCCTCAGCCTGGTCCAGGCACACCCTTTCCACGGTGGTCCCTGCCTCCTGCAACAGAAACCAGACTCGGCTTTAAAGCCTCCCATTGTTCTGTGTTCCGGCCCCTAAACTTAATTTCCACCATTATTGCTTCTAGCCCAAGGTAAGGACAGACATTTGCTTCCTGAACTTTCAGAGTATAGAGGTCACTGCATGAAGACCTCTGCCTCCCCAGCTCAGTGACCCTGGCCTGCCCTCCAGTCGATCTGTCTGTGGCAGTCTCTCAGGGGTGATGACCCGGGCTGGCACCTCCAGGTTGACAGCAGCATGGGTTGCAGGTCCCCAGCCTCAGAGGGCTCAAGTTTGGGCTTAGGCAGTCTGGGGAGGAGGTACAGATGAGCATTCGAACAAACCAAAGGGACAGGACCCTGGGAGGCCATTCCCCTCCACAGACATCACCCAGACACCTCAGAGAAGGCCTGAGCTCCACAATTTGGGTTAACAGTGCGTGCAGCTACTCACTCTCTGGGGGGATCCTGTCTTTGTGTGGACAGCCAGACAGGCTGCGGTGGTGAGGGTACAACCCAGTAACATGGCCAGTGCCGTCACAGCCTGGTGTTGGACACTTGATCTCACGCTTCTCAGCTCTTGAAGGATCTAAAACATACAAGGTGTGTTGTTTAGAGCCAGGAAGCTGGATGGTGGGTGGTGAGCATGGAGGGCGCAGGGACAGCTCATGACCCCTCACTCTGACTGTCCAGAGAGAAGGGAGGCTTCTCAGGAGCCCAAGAGGGACCAGAGGCTGGACAGTGAGGTGACCCTAGAGAAACTGGTCCAACTCTGGCTATCTGCATGTAAAAGCCCAAAGACTGCCCTGACTACACCAAATAGCAGGATGTGCAGGGTTTTAAAGAGAACAACCTCGACGGTAGCTGGAGTCCCCTTTCTTCCCTCCTGCTGATGGTGTGGAGGCCTCGAGAGCCAGCCAGGTGATGTCCTTGGGACTTGACAGCAGGAGGATAAAGAGGTCAAGTAACTTATCCAAGGCTGCATGACTAATAAATGCCTGAGCAGAAATTTAAACCCAAATCTCAGTTATTGACCTCTTCTAGCCTCTGCAGGCTCAGATAGATCACAATTGAGTGTGGGGACCAGAAGGGACACGGAGGATCTTCAGAACACAGCTGACATCTCAGAGAAAGTCCTGCTAGATGAGCCGTCCCCTTTGGGAGGGTGCAGATGCCACAGTGCTGATCTCAGAACACCCACCCCAGAGAGGGTGGAGCCCTAGCAAGGGCTCCCATGGGAAGAAGCCCTGGCCCTGATGCTCCGAGTTCAAGTAGGCAGGAAGTCAGACCCCACCTGTTCAGATGGGGGCATCCTGTGGGCTCCCGAATCTGTGCCCAGCACCTCCCTCCTGAGTTTGCTGCTGCTGCCCCTCAGCCTGCATCCAGAACTCTTGCTGTATCTGCACCCCGAGGTCAGTCTTTAAACCCAGTCCCGCTGTCCATCCACCACATGTCGACATTTGCATATCCCCACAGTCTGACTGAGCATTGCCTCAAGTCCTCAGCTCTGCCACCTGTGTCACCCAAGGCTCTGTTCCTCTGGGTCCATGCCCTCAAAATCGACCCCTGGAGGTAGCATCCCTTGCATCTGGGTCCCCCAATGTCTGTCCCACATGTCTGAGTCCCCCAAATACCTGGACCTGGGGCCATCACTCAGTGCCTGTGCTCCTCGTACATGTCCCACCAAAGTCTGCCCCAACCTGTGGGCCCCGAGCCTGCCATGCCAAGATGAGCAACAGCGCCCGAGCCCCGCACCTGCCCCCGAGTCTGCTTCACCTCACCCTTTGTCCCCTTGTGCCATCGCCCTCAAGGCCAGAGCCTGAGAGTGCAGGCCAAAATTGGGGCCCTGGAGCGGCCATCCCCAGTCTGTGTCCCCTCGAGAGCCGTCCTCTGGGCCCACCTCACCCTGAAATCACATCTCCAGCTGTGTCTCCTGCTGAGGATACAAGCTGTCCCCGAGCTTGTTTCAGATGCATGAGTGTTCCCATAAAATGTGTCCCTTATTTCTCCACTGAATTCCTGGCTATGATGCCTCTTAAGTTACGTCTCACTCAGATCTGTCTCTCCGTGACCCAGATGTGTTCTCCCAAAGCCTGCCAACATCTGCAGCTCCAGCGTTTTTGGTTTCTGGCTCCAGAGTCTGGGTCACAGCCCACCCAGACCTCTCTCCTATCTGCCCCCTCCCTGGTCTCAGGTAACCCTTTCTGGGGACAGTCAGTGGACGAGCACAGGGATCCCCACACCTGCATTCATCTAGACAAGAGAGGCCTGACTAGGGTAGGGAAAGAAGAAGCTGAGGTCGGGGCAGCTCCCTGGTCTTAGGAGAATAGAGGCCAAGTGTCCAGGTTTCTCTGTAGAGGGTCCTCAGCACCTGGCCCAGTGGGTCAGATGGGGTCAGAGCTGGCCTGTCCAACACCTGGTCTCCTTGTCAGGGTTAGGTTGACTTACTCAGGAGCAGCCCCAGCCAACACTGAACTTGTGCCCCAGGCCGCTGCCCTTTAGCTGAGGAGGTCGTTCAGATGGGCAGTGAGCAGAGCAGAGCCAGCCTGCCCCAGACTGTTCCCAGATGCCCTCATGACAATGGTGGCTACAGCCACTCACTGGGAATCTGTCCTCAGACCTGGCCCTCCAGTCTCCCAGCCCCTCCCAGCCCAGCCCCAAATCCCTTCCTAGCAGCCTGGCCTGACTTCTTCCCTGGATGTCAGTCACTCGGTGAAGCCTGGGGATGCCACCTCTACACCCTGCTCAGGGCCTTGTCCAGAGGTAAAAGCAAAGCCAACAGCAGGCTGCTCCCTCCAGAAGAGCAAGGGACAGACATCTCTGGGTCTATTTGCTCAGCCCCGCTAGAGGATCGACATGGCCCAGCGTGGTGCTTTCCAAGGCCAAAGGCAGTCAAGGGTGGGTTCTGTCATAGCACAACCTCTGCCACTGGCACAAGTCATGGTGGCAGGGACAGGCTGGGCCCAACCATCTCCAGACAGCAGATGCTGCTGTGGCCACCCACTGCGGCTGGGTCCTATCCCTCCCGCCTGGCTCCTTCTCCCATGTCTCAGCTGTGTCTCTCTCCAAGGCACCCATGAGAAGGAGCATGAGCCCATCTCCTCAGCATCTGACCTCGCTCTGTGTTGTGTGTGAATTTGTCCCTGTGTCTACTTCTCTGCCTTCCCCCCACCCCTGCCTGAAGGACTCTGGCTGTCTCTCCCTCAGCATCTTCATGCCTGGGGGTGGAGGCTGCATGTCCCTGGATGACGGGATGAGTGGCCAGGCCACCCCAGCCCCTACCTTTACTGTAGCAGCTCTTCCGCACAGCATCCAGGGGCTTTGCCGCCTTCCCTGACTCGCCCGGGCCCAGCTGGCCCTGCTCGGCAGGTGGGCAGCCTGGCTCGCAGACGGCGCGCACTTGCTCGGCCTTCAGGGCGATGGCCTGCTCCAGGAGGCCCAGGTTCCCACGGGTCATCATGTCATGCATCTCCGACTCGGCCGTGACCGTGGACTTCTGGGAGCGTGTGTCCTCGTCCCTGTCATCGTCTGAGCGGACCTCCACAATGACAGAGCATTCAGGCTTGGGACTGGGAGGCTCTGGGCACCGGAGCTCAGGGGCCTTCTGGGCAGAGGTGTGAGAGGCATCGTCTTCGAAGATGACATCAGGAGTTGCCCCCTCCTCCCCTTCCTCCTCCTCCTCCTCTTCATCCTCGTCCTCGTCCTCATCCTCCTCATCCTCATCCTCGTCCTCCTCCTCCTCCTCTTCTTCCTCCTCCTCCTCCTCATCCTCGTGACCCAGGATGCCTTTCTGCTTGTTGCACTCCTCCCTGACCACATCCTCCAGGGACTGGGGACACAGATCCTGGGAATGCTCGCTGGTGACTTCAACAACCTCCTCTGCGTCCTCTGGCTGGATGAAGAGGTCCTTCTCGCCCTCGTCGCTGGTGGCTCCCTCTGCAGCCTCCTCCTGAAGCAGGTGCACAGTAGAAGGGCCTGGCCTCGCCACTTGGTCTGAGTCCTCCCCCACTAGGGGCTCTTTGGCAATCTGGCCCAAGTCTAGGAGGGAAGTTGCGATGACCCCCTGGTAGCTGCCGTAGCTGCCCTTGGAGGAGCCAGCAGGGCTGCTGACAGGGTTGGATCCAAGACAGGACTTGATGGGGCTCCTTCCTGCACAAAACCAGAAATACCACAGGGGCTGGAGGAGAGAGCATGGGGAAGTCTGCAGGTCTCTGGTCCCCAGCATACCAGCCAGCCCTCCACCCTGCCCCACCACCCACCCTCAGTGCCACAGCCTGGGGGAAACATGAGACTTCAGAAGTGGAGATGTGGGGTGGTCGTTTCTGTCAGCCCCTCTGCCTGAATCCAGAGATCACGGTGGACTCATTTGAGGAGGAAGGTCATGAGCTGCTAATATATTTTTTAAGCTGGGAATTACTTTGATATTTTCTATTATTATTTTTCTCCCATCAGCTAAACCTGCATTTTATAGTTTTTATGGTCCATTTATGGAGCTTAAAGAGAAAATCAGATTTTTAAAAATTATTTCATGATTGGAAAACAGTAAATAAATTTATATTTTTAAAGGACCCACATTTAAATCTTTTAACCACAATCACTAAGCTGTAGTGGGTCTCACCATACACACGCCCTGTGGGACTGTCAGCAAGGACTCTCAGTCCAGCGCTCCCAGCATCGTAGGACCCAGCCCCACCATCCGCCCACCCCAGCGGGGGAGAGGCCAAGCAGCACCTGGCCCAGGGCAGATATCTGAAGTCCAAATGCCTTCCACATAAGAAAGCAGGCAAGTTAGTGTGTTTTCTACGTGGGATCCAGGACTAGCTTGATTCCAGGGGCTGCACACTCACTCCAGAGCCCCAGGAGGGAGATGGGTATGGGGATACTTCCTAGATTGGTTTCCAAAATAAAATAAAAATTCATTTTGGACCCTTCAAGGTCAGCTGACATCAGAAGCTTAGAGAGATGTTAACAGGGGGCTGGACCTCAGGCCTCAGTCCAACCCCTAGGACTCTGCAGATTTGCCAGAGCTCTTAGGGATACAGACTCCTCCTTCCAGGGCCCAGGGGCCACCTTCCCCCGCATTCACCACGGGCTGCATGCCCTGACACAGCCAGTCCTTGTGGGCCCCACAAGGAAGCTGGGCCCCTCTCTACTTTCCTCGTTCCCCTGCTGGCTTCCCTGGCTGCCCCCGTCTTCAGAGCCCCCCACACGGTGCTTGTTCACCTGATGTTCAACCTGAGGTGTGTCCTCAGTACCTGTCTGTGAGCAATCTGGGGCTAAGCAGACTCCTCACCCTGCCCCAGGCAGCTCTCCTGGAAGGCCGGGCAAGATGGGGTCTGTCTAAGACCCCAATGTACAGACACACAGAGACACAGTCCCATGTCATCTGTCTGTCTGCCTCCCTCCCATGTATGCAGACACACCTGCTGAAACACACACACCAGCCGTGTCTGTGTGTCTGTCCTGCCTCTCTCCTGCATACGCACAGACACATCACAGACCCCACAAACACCCTGAGCAGGCATCTCTCCCAGGAAGCCCAGCACATGTTGGGACAAGACATGCCTTGTTCTCAAGAAGGGCTTTCTGTCACTCAGAGTGAGCCCTCCCCTCTCACAGGCTGCTATTCTCCAAGGGCACACTAAGCGCCCTTTATTCAGGACAGAAAGAGCGACAAAGCACCTTCAGCTGGCTCAGGGCGATGAATCTCCTCCTGTCCTAACATCTCGGCCTCGGCCTCCTCCAGAGTTCCTTCTGATTCATCCGAAACAGAGGCGTCCTTCACCTCCACGTCCTCACTGCCGTCGCTGTCCACAGCATAGCCCTCGTCCAGGGCCAGCTTCAGGGGGTGCGACTTCCTCTTGGACGCCAGGTGCTGGGCCTCAGCTCCCTCCAGCTTCCTCTTCTTGGCCAGAGGGCAGCTCTGTAAGCTGGGAGAGAAGAGCGGGAAGAGGAGAGAGCAGGGCTGGGGGCCACGGGAGGACTCAGACGGTCCCAAGCCCCTCCCCAGGGCCCTCCCTCTACCCTCCGCAGCCGCTCTCAGCTAGAAGTCCAAAACTCTGATGTGTTTAAATTTTTACATTTAATGACATGCATCAAAAGTTCCTGATTGTGTCCTAAATTGCATTTCCTGCTTCTCTTGACCAATCAGAAGACCTAATGCCATGGGCCACGTCCTTCCTGCCTGCAGGGCCCGCTGGCCAGACTGCTCCTCCCTGACCCATCCCACCAAACCAGCCAGCACCCCACACTCACCTGTCTGACCTCACACACTCCCTCCTACCCTGGGCCCTCCCTTCTTCACCCCCAGAACCCCACACCCACTGTCTGACCCTGGCCCTGCAGTGGGGGCCCGCAAGGTCAGATTGACCACCCAGCAGCAACACATGCAGTCACCCTACTCAGGCCTGCTCTCAGGCATAGACTCATCCAGTCCTTGCAGCAGCACTGACAGGAAAACAAAGGCGCCAGGCCAGGTGGTCGCTGTCCCCCATGGCGTGCTCGAGTGGAAGGATGCTGCAGCTTAGAAGGGCTGGGGTCAGCCTGGCCTCAGGTTTTAATCCATTAAAGTGCCCAGAGCAGGGGAAGGGGCTCCTAACCTCCCTCCCAGGAACCTCTGCGAGAGCCAAGGGGCCTCACCTCCGATGCCTGGAGTACTTGCCGCGGACGTGTCCTGAGCCCGTGCATCCTGGGGTGGGGCAGCTGGGGAACAAGCAGGGGAGGTCACCTCAAGTGGCAGGGTCCGAAGCTCAGGCCCACCCCAGAACCTCATCCTGGGGAGAACATTGTCTCCAAACAGTTCACCTCAAAACGACTGCTTGCAGTCTGCTAAAAATTAATGAAATGACTCACCCCATCTAAATAAATGAATGGCCCATTCCAGTTTTATGAGTGTGTTAATTAAAGATCTGTGTGTATAAGAACAAGACTTCTAGTGCCAGCGTTCCCTGGACAGCTTCCCTTCCCTCTGCAGGTGCTCTGCCAGCTGCCACCAAGCTCAGGGACTTTCAACAAAGCCCTCTGAGGGGTCCCAGGACATAGCACCCTCTCTCTCTGCAGAGGGCTCACTGCCTGAGTCTGGCTCATGTCCAAAGTACACAAGCTGGACTTCTCTGTGGCCGTCATGGATATTTCAAAGACTGTGGCCATTGAGGGCAACACCCTTCACCCCGGCAAAGCAAACCGGCTACCAGGCAGGAAGGGCTCTGTGTGGCCCAAGCCACGGGCCCCACCTGAGGGTGAACACACGCAGAGGCAAGAACCCCACCCCAGGAGCTGCAGCCTGGTGAAGCCAGGAGGGCCGAGGAGATAAGAGCCGACCACCGGGCCTCAGTGGAGGCCTCTTGGGCTGTGCTGAGAAGGGCAGCTCCCACCTCAGGGCTGGCAAGTACAAGGGGATGGAGGAGAGAGCCCCAGGAGTCCCTCGCACTCAACTATCATCTGTCTCCCAACATAACCACACGAGTGAGTGGGGAGCTCTGACCAGGCTGCCCAATGCTGCAGCGGGGCTACAGTTCCATCAGGAGCCCTCAGGCAAGAGCACTGCAAAGGGCCTGTGTGCGGTATGAGGCCAGGGTCCACGCCACATCCCAGGCTCCTGCAGGCTGTCAACACATCCATGGATCAAGGCCTGCGAGGAGCTGCCATTGCCCTGCATAAATGCAGAACAGCGCGATGGAGAAAGCAGTCACCTGCAAGAGGTGGGACAGCCTGAGCTCCTTGAGGGAGGACAGAGACAGCCCTGGTCAATGTGGGAAGAACATGCTTTTAACAGGATTGAGCTCGCTCTTGCCTGGGATCAGGCTGCCCTAAAACACGAGCACATCTTTCCAGAGCCTGTAAAGGGAGGAAGGTATGGGCCATACCACTGACGCACTCCTGGGACCCAGGGAAAGGGGCACCACCCCCAAAGTCTGTCTAGACGCCTCTGACAGTTCTAGTTTGACTGACCACAGGCTCGACTGCAGACAGCTGTGGGCTCAACTGGTCGTGCTGGCCACTCTCACTGACCGTGTCAGGAAGAAACAGGCAGCTGCGGAGCCTGAGCCCTACCCTGACCCCACGCTCGACAGCAGCCGTGAGGGAGCAGGGGGCTCTGACGGGGAAGCTCTACAGCCCTCCCCGGCGGGGCCACCATGGCGACTGTTAGTGCTGATTTTCAATGTGTTAAGAAAGAAGAAAGAAAGAGGGAAGGAGGGAGGAGGGAAGACAGCCACATCCTGCCGCGGATTTCCTTTCCAGACAGTGGGGAGGTGCCACTGCACCCGGCCAGTCTGTTCGAAAATCCAGGCCCACACTTGCCTTCACTCTCTCAAGAACCAGCTTTGAAACTTTTCACAAAAGCTCCTTGTTGGGGATTCGAAGCTGAGATCCTAATTAGTCGATTAATCACTTAGTTAATCAGGCAATTAGGTGACAGCTGCTGTGGAGGCCTGTGGGGCTAGCCTTGCCCCCGACACGTCACCACTCCAAGCCACCCGTCCACCCCCAGTTCCCAAGAGTCCTTGTCCCCAACCAGGTGGGCCAGCACCTTCCAGCCGCAGCCTCAGAGAGTACAAGACAGGACTGTGAGCCCAAGTGCATGGAGCAGCAAGGCCACTTTGGGACAGGAAGCTAGACAGCCATTAGACTCCTGCTCCCTACCCAGCATCCAAGGGAGCCTTCAGAGGCTGTAGCACCAGCAGACGTCAGCCTTGAGCCTCGCAGGTCAAACAGATTCACCTACGAGCACACCACTGTGGGAGGAGAGGCAGACCTGAATCAACGCCTCACCCTGCCACTCAACAGCAAGACCTCTGGGCTGCCCAGGCTCAGCTCCTACACCTGTCCAGGGCTGGTGTCGGAGATGCTGGGAAGCAAAGCGGGTGCAGCTTGGTGGAGGACGTGGCACACGGACTCCGCAGCAGGTGTCCTGCAAGTGGCTCTGAAGGATTCAAACATGAACAGCAGGTGTCCAGGAAGCTGAGGTCGGAGAGGAGTCGGATCCCAGGCTTGGAGCCCCGTGCATCAGCCACCACCCTTCCAAGGGACGACTTCCCTCCCACCCCGGGGCAGGTAGAAGACCCTCCACTCCCACCTGTCCTCTGAGCAGGAGATGGCCTGTGGCTCAAGGACCCCAGGAGAGGAGGGGTAAGCAGCAAGCAGTTGGGACACAGGTGTGGTCTCCCTCTGAGCTTGGCGAGGCCTGAGGAGCCCAGCAGCTCTGCCTTGAAAACGCCGGCCCTAACCCTACGTGTCTAGCCGTCACTCTGAGGGCTGTGTGATCAGATGGACCCAGACTAAGATGCAAGTCCATGTGCCTGTCAGTACTTCCACTGTGTGAAGGGAGAACCATCGCGTCTGTTTCTTCTCTCCGGCAGAGGAAACTCCAAGTGGGCTCTGGAGGTCGGAGAAGGCTCAGGGTCTGCTCTCTCCAGGCTGACGCTTTCCTCAGCTCACCTTGTAAACAACCACCCTGCTGCCACCCAGAGCACAAGTGTCTTCCTGGGAGCTCTGCTTGAGTGGGTAGAGGACAAGCTGGGGAGGGGGCACCACGAGCCATGGAATTGAGTCAGCAGAGCGCAAGTCCCTTGTCCATGGAGAAAGTCCTGCACACAGGGCTTCACCACAAGTGGTTCTGTGCATGTGAGTTCACCTGGCTTCATGATTTGCACACAGACCAGCACAGTTTGTTTCCTGTAGGTCCCACTCCCTGTTCTGGCATCCACAGTGTGAACCCTGCTGGGACAGAGCCCATGGAATCCTGAGGAACAGGCCTTTGGTGGGGGAAAACCACAGCTGCCACTTCCTGAGATGTAAACAATCCCACATGGCTGAGGCAGGAGCTCCCCGAGCACAGGGCGGGTCACATCCCACAGGTGGCTTGTGACCACAGGGTTCTGCACATAGACTGCCTCCCATGCAGGACGTGCCGATTTCCTGGCAGTCTTTGTTCTGTTCTACTCCAAGCATCATCATTCAAACATGAAGAATTGCTGGCAAAGGTGCTGCCAGAACACGAGACATCAGTGCGTTCACCCCTAGTTTCTCCATAGAGAAGTTTAGGGGCCTCACTATGACCAAGCAAATAGGTCGAGACTATGAGATCAATGGAGGTGGTGAAATCCAGGTGCTCACGTCACCCCTCACTCACACCCCAGGTCTTCTCTCAGAATGTTTCAAAACAAACCTGTTTTGAGGGTCACTTTTCCTTCTGCCATTCCAGAATTACAAGAGAACACCCAGGCTTTTGGGTTCACCTTTCCAACTTGCCCCATAACTTCATCTGTTGTCGCCAAAACCCAGGTTTCCTGCCCCCCGTGCCCCCCACTGCTCCCTCACCCGAATTCTCCACGGGCCCCTCCTCCTGGAAGACGGCTCTCCGCTCTTTCCTCTGGGCCCCTCTGAGCATCGTGGGCTGTCGTGACCACTGCTCCTTCCAAGGTTCAGCTCATCAAACAGAGTCTCCCCTCCAGGGAGCCAGCCCCTGTGCCTTGGGGGAAAGCCTGTCGTGGAGCACCCTCGCCCCCACCCTGTGACCCAGGGGTAGGCTCCAAGCGGTTGAACATCAGAGTCAGCCCCTCCCCCTTGCATGAATGTTACCCCAAGCCTTGGCCTCCCCACTTCACAGATGGGATAATAACAGCACCAGGCAATGCTTCCACGGGAAGCCCTGAGGTTGAGACTGTAATGTGGGGCCATCGCAGAGCCCGGGGCTTGGAGCACCCTGGCTCCCTCCCACACCCCTCCCATCTCCAAGTGACAGCTGCAAGTGCTGGAGGGACACTAGCTTCCTGTTCCACCTCTGCACAAGGTTTACGGGATGAACTTTGGGGTCCTCTCCTTTTCCTGATTGGCAGAAAGCCATCCACTCCACAGCTGTGTGGTGAAGAATAAGACAATCCCTGCCCCGGATTTGTTCACAGTTTAGTGAGAATCTTATCCCCAGAAAGTACAAGGAACAGTCACAGTTCTTGCGGGTGGCTGTGTTCAGCCCCTGCCAGATGATCAACATTTCAGTCCATGGAAGACTTGGGATGTGGAAAACCCTATTCTCTCATCTCTGGCCAAACTGGGCCTCCAACCTTCTGACACAAAGGCATTTGTGAGATTCCACCTTGTTGCTGGTTTGGGAGACCATGGTGACAGTCCAGGTCCTATGGTGACTAGGTGTGAGCATATCTGTGTCCTGCCATGAGGCTGAGACACCTGGTGCTGGGGCCAGGACAGAGCTGGGAAAGGGCAGGCAAGTGGAAAGGTGGCCTCTGGGGAGGGCAAGGGCTCATCAGTGGGCGTGGCCAGTCCAAGAGCCCCCTGTTTGGGACACTTGGGATGTCTCTAGGGTCACAGGCATATGGTAATGCCAGTGCTTTCAGGAAGACTTCCTTACCTGAGGTCTGCGCCTGTGGTCTCTGGAGGTCCTGGGTGAGAGAAAGAAACAGGAAACATGGGAGCTGGAATGTAAGCGGCACGTTGCCCCAACAGTGTGAATGGAGAAAGCAGCCGAGAGGCCTGCCGAGGACTAGTGGAGCAGCCCTCATGAGAGCTGAGCTGATTCCCGGGCCCCCACCCTTTCCTGACCTCGTGGAAGGTCCTCCAGTCAGGCACCCTCTCCACACCCTCCCCTGGGGAGCCTGGCAGTTTTGCAGGGCAGGGGTGGATGCTCCACCTGAGACAGTCTCTCTTGGCCCTCAGGGCTGGGGACGGTCTCCCTTTCTCTAACTGCGGATAGTAGTCTGCTTTTGGAAGGAACCATGACCCACCAGAACAAGCTGTACAGAGAACAGGATGGATGGACAGAGTGGCTGGTCCCTCAGGATGGGGCCCGAAGGGGGCAGGCACACCCGGCACACTCAGAGCTCCAGATCACTCTGTGGAGCACGACAGGAAGCCCCAGGTGCCAGGGAGCAGGACCTCGGCCCCTCACCTTCCCACCCCTCTGCCAGCCCAACCCAACAACTTAAGTCCCTGTGGCACCAACACTGGTCTCCTGGGAGGGGAGGAGCTGAAGATGGAAGCTCTGCCCCCACCCAGTGGGGCTGTGACCCTCTCCACATCTCTGGCACGGGCAGGTTTGTCTGAGCCAAAGGCCCTCAGGTGCCCAGCGTAGAGAGAGGCATCCCTGGACCCTGTGCATTTGATGTGGGGGCTTGTTCTGAGAAAAACTGTGGGGGAATGAGGACCTGGGCTCGGCCATCCTGTGGGAGGGGACAGCACCACCCACCTCGGAGGGCTTTGGACCGTGTGCGAGCTCGCTTGTCGTCATTTTCTAAGCTCATCTGCAAACAGAAAACAACGATGACATTAATGAGAAAACCCAGCAGCACCTCCTGAGTGCAAAACCAGAGGGTCACCTGGCCATGCTCTGATTCACGCTTCAACAGTGAAGATGAATTTGTGACCCAGAATGACAGACAGGGTGGGCTCACAGGATGGGAGAGGCCGGGGGTGGGGGTACTGCTAGGCAGCGACTACCAGACTCAGAGGGGTCCCATCTGCGTCTCCCACCCCTTGGCAAGGGGCCCTCCCGCTGCCCCAGTTCTGCACCCACCAACAAAAGCTGAAGCATGGGTCCTGCTCTGCTGGATCCTCACGAATGCTGGTGTTTCATAACACGAGGGTCTCCTGGCCTAGCGGGGAATGACACCTACTGCCCACCTGGCCAGGGAGGTGCTGAGGCACCAGGGCGGTTGTCACTGGTGGAGCTTTTGACCCCAACCTGCCTCCAGAGCCTGGCTTCCCACTCAGCAGAAGGTGCTGATGCCGCTAACACACTAGGGTCATGCTTAGAAACAAGCATTCTGAAGCAGCTCCAACCCACATGTCCTCTGGCCTTGAAGGCCTGGCTGCCTTACCTGAACCTTCAGTGTCCCACCCACCTAAATATAACCCCTGCACCTGACCAGCCTCCGCGGGGATGCTGCCCACAACATTGTCCTGCAAGGGGGTTAATGTCCTGGGAGCCTCCAAGAGGGCAACAGTCACAGAAGGAACATGCCTAGGGATGAGGGTCACAGACAGAATTCTCATCCTGTGTCCCCCATGACAAATCTGAGCAGGCAGGTAAAACCCCAACGCATTCCATGATGTGCCAAACAATTCTCTCCCAAGGAGTGAGACCAGGCGGGGCAGGGCATGAGGAGAGCGGCCAGGGCTTTGCCACCTGTCCCAGGCCAGACGCCAGGGCAGCCAGGGCTCCACGTGAGAGGTTGTCAAGGGAAAGCGGGAGAGTCAGGAAGACGTAGCAGAAGGGAGGAGGAGCAGGCTCAGAAGCTGCTCTTAAATGGGGCTTTAGGCTCTAAAACCCAGCAAGAGGCAAATGCCTACGGTACCACCTGGGAAGAAAGTAAAAGGAATTCCCCCAATTAGTAAAAAGAAACTTGCAAAGTGGACCTCCCCCATGCGGCAGCTCTAACACACAATGATTTATGTGATTTGTTAAGGAAGAAAAATCAAAACCTGTGTATAAAAGGAATTCCCCCAATTAGTAAAAAGAAACTTGCAAAGTGGACCTCCCCCATGTGGCAGCTCTAACACACAATGATTTATGTGATTTGTTAAGGAAGAAAAATCAAAACCTGTGTAATTTATGAAACCCGCCAACTCAGGGCTATGGAGTGCAGTGCATGAGACGTGGGTCTATTACAGCTTTCCAGAAGAACAGAAGACAATTACTGCAGTTTCTGTTTTTAAGGCGGAGGTTCCCCATGGACCAATGGCTCACATTTAAAGTGACGAGAGGAGCAGGTGTCAAAGGGACTTCATTACATTTATGAGCCTTCAGATGCAGCCTGCACGCGGAGTGCAGTGCATGAGACGTGGGTCTATTACAGCTTTCCAGAAGAACAGAAGACAATTACTGCAGTTTCTGTTTTTAAGGTGGAGGTTCCCCATGGACCAATGGCTCACATTTAAAGTGATGAGAGGAGCAGGTGTCAAAGGGACTTCATTACATTTATGAGCCTTCAGATGCAGCCTGCACGGAGCCCTGCATGGTGGCTTCCGATGTGGCCGCACAATGGAGCTGATGCATCTGATTGCCAGCGTCTGCATTCAGCTGAAACGCAATCTACAGCTTTTTTTTCCTTTGCTTTTCTTTTTTTTTTTTTTGTCAGTTTTCCCAAGGAAATTGGCACGCATTCTGCTAGGTTAAAGCGTGCCTTGGCAATTTGGATTTCCTGCAGATAAATTATTCAAAGAGCAGAGAATAGAGAGGGTTGCAGGGCTGTGTAATGGGCGCTGCTTGCAAACTGTGAGCTCCCATTGATGGAGCCAACAGCTGTGGCATTCACTCTGCTGAGCACCTTTCCATTTGCAATTTATCTGCATCAAATGGTCAATAAGTGAGAAGTTCTCTTCAGTGCATGTAGCTTTGATTTTAAAAGGGAAAAAACTGAACTACGGGAGGAAAAACCAGGCTCTTTAATATGAGAGAATGAGTCTGTAAGAGCTGCGTGAGCTGGGATACCAACACCGAGACAGGGAAAACATTGACTTCTGAGTAGTTTGAAACCAGCAGCGGCTGCCGCAGGAGCCTCTGGGCAAAGCCGTGATAAAACCCACTCCACGAAGGAAACAATTCATACCGTTTTCCTTTTCAGAAAGAACTCAAAGCACTTTGGAAGCAGGTTCTCTGCTGCCTTCATACCCCCACATGGCAGACAGAGAGCTGGTGTCCAGGGCAGCCCTGAGCCCAGCACCACCCAGGCCCACCCACCAGCCTCCTGCCCGCTTCTGCCCTAAAGGGCAGTTCATTAATGCAAAGACCATGAGGCACTTCTCAATTTCTCACTGATTTATTTTTTTAAAACCTTTACTTGTTCCAAGCATAAACCAACCAGGTCAACTCAGTGACTCTTGCCTTGAGGGGGAAGAGGCCCCTTTGCCAGACAGGCCTACCTCACGCCTCCCTCACTGAGAGGCCAGAGATCTCTCTTGAGAGCAGCATCTGCTCTGTTTCTCTAACGCCAACTTCATTCTGCAACCAGGAGCATGTCTTACAGCTCTAATTAATATTTCAATAGTTGTGCTGACAATAGGAGAACCATGGGAGGAGAATAATTTACAAATGCAAACATGCCCTGTTTTGCCACACCCACTAGCCAGAGAGCTGTCTCCTCATCCTTCTTGTCTGACTTGCTGTCTCAGTACCACAGGACAGTAGCCTCACTCAAGAGTGTTTTTGCTTTGCTCTGCTTTGTATTTTGTTTTAGTAGAGTCAAGATTAATCATGTAAGCTCTGTTTAAACATACACAGTTCTCACAATGACGTGCCACAAAGACCAGCCCCTTTTCCAGGCCCATCTGCATAGCACCCTTGCCAAATCTGAGTTCCCTGAGTGGGACGTTTACAAACACAGGGACCAAAAGAGGAAGTGCAGTTAGCAGCCTCAAAACGTGCAGATTCCCCTGGACCCTCAGGCTGCAGCTGTGAGAGATATATTCAGAATCCAGAAATACAGCCAGTAACAAACCACCCCTGTCTAGTCTTTAAGGGGAAATAGTGGACTCTGCTTCCAAAACTATCAGGGTCAGAGGCTTTCCATAAGGCCCAACAGGCTTTGTGCCAACATTTACTTTTACCCTCAGAGGCCATGGCTGCCACTGTCCCGCCATTGCAGCCAGCCAAAGCTCAGGGACATCCATAGTGGCCCTGGAGGGTGCCCCTTCCCCTTTCTCTTTTCTGCTCTCTCACCCGCTCTCTCTCTGTCCCTCTCTGTCTCTGTGTCTCTCTGTCTCTTGCTCTTCTTTCCTGTTTCTTCCCAGGGCCTTCAGAGCTGAAGAGCTTCCCCCTACACCCACGTCCCTGCCCTTCACCAATAGCCAAGGGCTGGTCAAAGGACAGAATCCATGCTGAAGCCTGGCCCCAGCAGGGGGTGTCCTGGGTGTCACCAGCCATGGCACCCCTGAGGTTTGCACATCACACCAGAGAGTAGAGGGTGGTGCTCAGGGAGAGCTCAAGGGAGAGGTGCTGCTGAGGCTTGAGAGCCCAGGTGGGGGTGGGGAGCATGAGTGGATCAGTTAGGACCCAGCGCCATTTAGGGGTGGGAGCCAGAGCACCCCTCTCTCACTCTCCACCCTGCACCCACTCATGGTGGTTATCTCCTCTTCAGAAAGCTGCTCAGCACCCAGCATTCAAGGATGAGCAGACAGAGAGCTGAATGAGCAAATAAATAAATGGGGACAGTCAGAAACATCTCTGAAATTCTGGTGCCAGAACAGGTGGAGAGGAACAGTGTGGGGGGCTCAGCAGAGGCCAATGTGTGTGAACCTAGAGCTAGGGGTCTCAGGGCCTCCTGATGCCCTGGGGTTGCTCACCCAGCCTTGGGCCAGAGGCAGAGACATATAGAGTTTCATTTTATTTAAAACATATTCCAACAGGGAAATTAGAATGGACTTAGGACATTTTAAATTCATGAGATCACCTGGCCCCAGCACAACACTTCTTCTCCCAGAGACTTGCACAAGGAAGGGCACCTGCTGGCTCCTGGGGACCACAGACAGCCCCTGCCCAGAAGGAAGGGGCCGAGGAAGATGTGGAATGAGGAGGTGTCAGGGAACTAGCCGTCCGCCCACCCCACTTGGCTCCAACAAGCCTCACTGCCCTCAGCACCATTAGCACCACATTCAGGCTCCCTTTTCTCCATGGGAGACGAGGGCGGAAGGAAAGAGTGACGGCTTATTTTCCTCTCTCCACTGTCCTGTCTCTGCTGTGCAGCTGTTATAGCAGGAGGTGTTGACATAGATCCATGCTTGCACCACCAGGGACTGAAGAGCAGCATTCAGGGACCCCCTTGCTCCCCTCTGCAAGCATTCCAGTGAGGCCACGTGCTCCCTGCCTGCACCAGCCATCTCAGCCCACAGCAGGCACAGAAGGTCTGCACCTCAGAAGCCCCAGCACTGGCCTGCTGTCTGCTCTCTGGATCTCTGAGGCTGAACCACATGGCCATGCCCTGCTCCCTCTGGCAGCCATCACAGCACTCCCTGGTTCTTTGCAGTGACAGTTCTGTCCCCCTCTTTGGGGACGTCCTGCTGTGTGTCTGAAATTCTCCTGACATTTCACCCATTGTGCAACCCACTCACAGCTGAATAGACCAGCCCCCCTCCTTGGAGTATAGAAAGGATACCCCCATGGGGCATTATTTAGCACATGTCTTAGGAGGGGATCTCCTGACAGCTCCGAGCATGGGATCCTGCCTCACTCCAACCCTAAAATTAAAAATTATAGCTGCATAATGGACACCCTGAAGAAGCAGCCATATCTGCATCCATCTGTTAAAAACTCCAGCATAAATGGAATTTCTAACCAATCAGGGTAGAATGCAGAACCATCAAGTGAGGCCAGAAAGCCCATACCCAGGCACTCCTCTCCCTTGCAGGAGCCTGTACCCATCATCCAGTCAGACCCCACCCCCCCATGACAGGAGGAAGGGCTAGCCAAATGCCCATGCATTCAACCTTCTCCTCAATTCCATAACTCTACATTCATCCACTGAATATTAAGCAATTTGATGGCCAAATGTTTCCTTCTTCAAGGTTAGGAAGGGGCTCAGGAGCTGCCATCAATGCCTGCACCTCCCCTAAGACATCGCCTGATTTCTGACAGCCCTTCCCAACGGCCCTGCGCTGTCCACACGCCTGGTGCTGAACGCAGAGACACAGGACACCTTGGCTCGTGGCCTCCCTCACCCACCTCCTGCCCTAGGCAGTCCCTAAAGGGCTGATTCTGGCGCTGCCATTGCTGTGTGACACTCTCACTGTGGCCGCCACTCGCCCCCGGACTGCAGCCCTCTCTGCCTCGTGGTCAGAAGGTACCACCTGTGCCAGCCCCACAGGCCTGGGCAGTCGACCCTCCACACCCTCCCTCCTTCTCTGGCCCACTCTTCACCTTAGCCTCTCTACTCAGCCTCTAACTGAGGCCCTAAATGCCCCACATAGAAGAAAATGACTCTCCAGTGGGGCATTTACAAAGCAGCGGGTGCCGCCAGGAGGACCCCTGCGTGGGCCCCCAGTCCTGTTCACAGCAGTTGCATCTTGAATGGCCACCCTTGGAGCTTGTCATGCTGGGCCCTAGGGAGACTGAAGTTCTCCTGTCCAGCTCTGACACGGCAACAGACAACCACAGGAAACACTCCACCCAGAGCCACTGGCCTCAAGTAAGTGACTTTCGTGGTCACACGGTCTCTGAGCAGTGCTGCTCAGTGTGAATCCTCAGGGCCAGGGTGGGGTGTGGGGAGTGAGGCCAAAAACTCAGTGAAAAACAATATTTTAATGCAATGCTTTGAAACATCAACATTAATGGAAAAATCTGTGATTATGAAATACCGATGTTTTATGTAAAGACAGGGCCAGCATTGTTGGCTCTTCTTGTGCTGCAGGCTCCAGCATGACTGGCAGAGCACTGACAACCCGACGGGAGCCAGAGTACTTAACAGGGGAGGCGCTTAACATGGTCACTATGGGGCCGGCCCCATGGCTCACTCGGGAGGGTGAGGAGCTGGTAGCGCCGAGGCCACGGGTTCAGATCCTATATAGGGATGGCCGGTGCACTCACTGGCTGAGCGTGGTGTGGACAACACCGTGCTGAGGGTTACGACCCCCTTACCGGTCAGAAAAAAATAAAAACATGGTCACTATGACAGACTCATGAGAATGTACATCCTTATCACCAGATCCAAAAGAAAAATGTTGGGTTTTGAGAGTAAAATACAAGCCAACTCAAATGAAGTTCCCACGTCTAATTCCATAGGTTCCCCATCCACACCCTGGGCATCACCCCTTAGTGGCCATGCCCTGGGTCACAGCTGGATCCTTGGCAGAGAACATCTACATGTCAAGAAATGAGAGATCAGAGTCTGATGTTGACAGCCTCACTTCCAGCTCTGAGGGTCACCTGACCCCAGGGACCTGTTCTACCAGAGCATGTCAGAGGGAAGTTCTAGGAGCAGGGGTCAGTGGATGGCAGTGGCTGTAGCACATGTGATATTCCAGGGCTGGGAGAGTCCCCAGGGAGGCGGGAGCCTGAGTTGCCTCCATCGTGAACTCTGGGCAGACGCAAGAAGTGCGCAAACCACCCGCTTCTACACAGGAAAATGGAAATGAAGCAGACCAGCCGACCTCGTGACTCTCGCCAGCAAAGCCTGCTGTCAGACCCTGAAGGCATTCTCAGCCGCCCAGGCAGAAGCAGGGTGAACAGAGACCAGGCCACTGAGGCACATTGTGGACCCTAGATGTGGCCGTCCAGCAAGCAGGAAAGTGAGACTCGGCTGTCGCATTCTAGACTCACCCTATTCAAAGTCAGTTTTCTTCCTTTAATCTTAAAGGGACTAGATCATCAATGGTCCTAGTCCCCATGTACCCTTCGCCTAATCTGGACTCTGATGAGGGTCAGGCCAACAATCACCTCTGTGCTCTGTGCATGGATCCCAGAGGGGCTTTGCACAGGCAGCCATGGGTGGGCCCAGGACGGGCTGCCCTCTGAGTGCCTCACCTTGCTGTGCCTGCCCGGGAGGTGTCTTGAGGTCCTGCCACTGCTGGCCTTGTCTCCGTGTGTCCACCTCTGGTTCAGCAGCTCACCCCGGAACTCATTTTCTGAGGGTTTGAAAAGATACAGGGTCAGAAAAAAAAAGCCTGATGAGCGCCAGCCACGCTGGCTGCAGGGAGAAGGTGGCAAACTTGGGCCCTTTCTTTTCACAGAATTTGTACAATCCCTCTTTTCTGGAATCCACCAGAAACATGGACAGGTCATGTCCTTCTCTGATTTGGGAGCCTTCTCCAAGCTCCCAGCACCTGAACCCTCCGCCGTCCCACTCAGCTCTGGCTGCTGCTTCACGGGAAAGGCCCAGGGGGCGTGGATTTCCACTGACAGGGCCATTCCAACAAGGGCACTGCGGCGAGTCAGGTGGGACACACCTTGAGAAAACTTGGCATTTAAACTCTCCGACTTTGAAAACGAGCTGATTAATGAGTAATAATTCATATTACTACTAGGCCCTTCATTGCCCCAAAAGAACGTGCAGCACAGATACACCTACGAAAAGAAAAAAAATGCTTTGCACAGCTCCTCTGAAGCGACTGATTTAGGAAAGTGAGGTCTGCCCAGGGGCCTCCAGTCGGCTTTGTCAACACGCTGTTCCCCGGCAGGAGCCCTGTCCCCACCTCTTCGCATCTTGCTTCTGCCTTCCCCAGGGCAATGCCTCCAGTATCTCACTGCTCTCACCAGCTCCCCCGTCTGAGAGAGGCTGAGTCCATCAGCTGGACGTGACACAGAAACACATTGTGTACCTGTCCCTGCACGTCACTCCCCGTCTCCATGACAACCTGCTTTGCACAACTGTGTTTCAAAGGAAGGTCATTAAGTGACCAGCAATACAATGAGGTGAATATCCCTCCTGCTCTTGCTTCTCCTTGGAAGTGGGTTTAGATTCTGCCGAGGCAGGCCAGGCATGCTGCCGTCACAGCCACCATCTTCCTCCCCCCACTTTTCTCTAGAATTCCACCACTCCTGGCCCCAGGCAGCCCAGTGGCTCAGACACGGCATCCTCTTGTAATCTGGAAATGCCTCCAGTCTATTAAAAGGCCTCCAATTAACTTCCGGAGCATAAACACAGAGGAACACAGATCTGGTTGTCAAGGAGATGGCATAATGCAAGGTCTTCAAAGAAATGGCTAAAACCACAAGGATTTGGCACCTACTGTGTGCACCTACTCTGTGCCTGCCCTCATTGAGCCATGAGTCAACCACAGGTGATTGTCATGAGGATGGTTTCAACCTCATGTTCCAGCACCTCGACTAGCGAGGAGTGGGCTATGAGACTAGGACCCCTGGCTCCCCGTCTATAAATCGGGGATAGGTCATCATCACGGAGCTGGTGTGAGGTGCCTCTAAGTAGGGCCAAGCCTGCCCACCAGGTAACAAACTCTCAGACCTGTGACAGGAATGTGGGGATGGCATCTAGGAGACCCCAGGGCACTGAATGCACAAGGCAGATGCAGCCAACAGCATGAGGGGCTTAAGGACAGGAGGACCCGGCACTGGAGAGGAGGGGCCTGGCAGCCTCACCCCACTGGGACGGAAGAAGAAAAACATGTGGGAAGACTCAGGATGTGAACCATCAAGAATCACGTGCCCCAGACTCTGAGGATGGGGTATGGGGCCTCCCTGCAGTGTGTCTCCTCCATGGTGACAATGGAAGCTCACTTTCCAAGCATCTGTCCCCAGGAGAGAAAACACTGCAGAAACCTGCACACTGGGCTGAATTGCAAGGCTCACCTGGAATTTCTTGTTATGGTGGCATACATAAATACACGATGTAACTGGGGCATGTCTTGCTGACAGCCGGAGGATGAGTAGGTCAGGACTGTTCCTGCCCCCTCAGCTCCAGCAGGGTGCTCCAGAGCAGCTGCCTCCTCCTGGGAGAGCGATAGCCCTGAGTTCTGCTTCTCAGAGATGGGCAGAAGTGAACTGTGAAAGCCACTGCAAAGGGACCTCCTACTTTCTGCTTGATGTGAGATAACCAGATCACTGGTGCTTCCCACCCTCACCCACCCCTGGGGTCTGGACATAAAGCCCTATGGAATTTCTATCACCTGCAACCCTCATGCTCCTGTCCTAGGTCAGGCAAAGCTCTAGGACCCTAGGATCATCTGCTCCTCCGAAGAGCTGCTCCTGCCTCCCTGTGGCAGCCAAGCCACTGAGTATCTCTGGGCAAGGGAGCAGAAGGGCACCTGGTGGGATCCTGTGCACCACAGCCCTGGGTGTGGAGCAGGCAATTATCAAAGCGCATACCCCCATCTCAGAGCCTCATTCACGGAGGACCCAGCTCCACCACGACATGATTCTGCCTCCTTTCCCTACCAGAAGCCCGGTGAGGTGTATCAGTTCCTCTCCTTTGGCCCTCTTGGTCCCCACTAGTACCTGTGTGTGGCCAGGCCCTGCAATGGACTCAGCAGGCTGCACCCCAGACAACACCCTCCTGTCTGGACGCATTGCCCATCAGCATCCCGGGGAGCACACTAAGCCTCCCTGCACCAGAAAACACTGCATAGAAATGCGGGCGTTCTTTTGCGACACCCCTTGCAGAAGAGCTGCTCGTGGATGTCCAGTGGTGTGGCCAAAGGGCACAGAGCAGTGCCATCAACCCAGACCTGGCCACAAGTCACTGCCCTCTCTGAGACTTAACCTGTCTGCCACAAAGCAGGGGAAAGAGCCCACATGGTGAGGTGAGAGGACGTGGCTGCAGTTGTCACTGTCACTGCTTTTCTTACCGGGACTCTGCAGTGAGAAGGACGTCTTCGTCAAGATGAGCCCTTTCTTTGGGGTTCTCAGGTCTCCAATGAGCTCATCTGAATCCCTGCTCATCAACACAACATGACACAACGTCAGAGGCCACCACATCCTGAGAACATCTTATAATAAGCTGCCGAGGAGCAGTTCCTGGCAGCCAGGATCAGGCGCTGGCTGTGATTGCACCAGGGGCCCTGGTGTCCTGTCACCTTGAGCCCTGCCTGCTCAAGGTGGCCCAGCATCTGTCCCCACAGTGGCCCCAGATGGTCAGACAAGGTCAGTAAAGCAACCAGGGCCTATGGGGCCAGCGTCAACACACTCGGGTTTGAAGACCCTAGTGCAGGTGGGGAAATGCCCCAAGCAGAGCCACAGCCCCGTCTGTCTCTTTCCTAATAAGGCCACTTTCTCCAGCTCAGCAGCACTATGCACCCAAGACTACCTGACCCAGGCTCAGGATGCAATATTTCCAATGAGAGAAGCAAGAAGACCGAGGGCTGGGGCTGGGCCATGCTGCCCACCTCCCCCAAGACAAGGTGACCCCCCACTGGTCCAGCTCTAACATCCCATCCACCCCTTGGCCCACAGATGGCACAGGCACACACTTCCCCACACCAGCAACATGGCCACTCCACCTGCCCAGCCTCGCGGAGGACCCCACACAGAAGGGTACGTCTGCTGTGATGCTCCTAGATCACCCTGAATCTGGCCCGGACAGCCCCCATCCCCATGTCCCTGCCTGGGAGTCCCTGCAGTGGTCAGCTCTGGCCCTACCTCAGCACTGCCAGCCTGACTCCCTCCCACGGTGCCCAACCTCCCCACCCTGAAAATAAGAACAAACATCAAGAGCGTCGAGCTAGAGGCCAGGGTAAGTGTGGAGAGTCAGCTGTTCTGAGAGTCCTCATGGGGTTCTGCATCTCTGGTGACCACGGGCCACCTTCGGGGACAGGAGCTGCTTCCACCTCCCCCACAGCAAACAAAGAGGGGGAGGGAAGTCACTTGGGGGGTACCCATAGCTCAGCTCTCCCTTGCATCCCCCACCCGGCACATGCTCAGCAGAGGGTCTCTCCACCCCATCACCCCTCCTTCCCGCTGTTGATTAAGGGGTCCCAGGAGTATCACACTACCCTCCATTCCTCTCAAATATTTAGCCACTTTGTTCAACTCTTCAACAAGCTTGAGGCATCCACATTTAAGACACACAATCTGTCTGGACCCCACACCTCTGCCCAGCTACCTTTCTGTCTCCACCCCCTTCACAACCAATTTCTTGAGGGAGTCAAACCTACTGGCTCTATTCCCTATCTACCCCTCCACCCTGCCCCTGCTGGCCTCCACCTACATCCCTCCACCCGCGTCATGTCTGGAGGCACCTGTGGTCCCATCGCACCTTGCGTGTCTGCTCCCTTCTTCTGTGCTACCTTCTGGATCTCGCCAGAATCTGATCACCTCTAACCTTTCCAGCTGATTTGTTTTGCTTTGTCTTGTTTACCAGCATTGACAAACTCATTCTAAAATTCATATGGCAATTCAAGGAACATAGAATAGCTAAAGCAATTTTGAAAAAGAACAAAGTTAGAGGCTTCACACTTCCCAATTTCAAGACGTACCACAGAGCTGCAGTAATTAAGACAATGTGGTGCTGGCACAGGATAGACATAGAGTTACGTGGGATAAAAGTGAGAATCTAAAAATAACCTGTTATATTTATGATCAATTGATTTTTGACAATGGCATTAAGACGATTTAATGGGAAAGAACAGTCTTTTCAACAAATGTGCTGGGACAGTTGGATACCCAAAAGAATGGAGTTGTACCCTCTCACACCGTACACACAAAAATTAACTGGTAGTGGACCACAGACCTAAGTGTAACAGCTAAAATTCTTTAAAAACATAGAAATAAATCTTCTTGACTCTGGGCTAGGCAATTGGTTTCTTAGATATGACACCAAAAACACAGCCATAAAAGAAAAAAATAATATATTGGACTTCATCAAAGTTTAAAACTTTTGTCCTTCAAATATGACCATTAATACAGTGAAAAGAACCCAGACTGGGAAAAAATATTTGCAAATCATATAACCGATAAAGGACTTGTATTCAGAAGAAAGAACTCTTATAACTCCATAATAAAACAAATAACTCAATTTGAAAATGGGCAAAGGATGTGAACAGACATTTCTCCAAAGACAACATATAAATGGACAATAAGCACCTGAAAAGATGGTCTACGTCCAGTCACTGGGGAAACGCAAATCAAAACCACAGTGAGAGGCCCCGTCACATCCACTGTACGGCTGTGACTT